TTTTCTGGCTTTCTAACTATGCGACAAGAACCGTTACAAAATCATCCAAGACAGTCGTTATCTTTTATGTGTGAAAAAAGCTTGTACTAACAGTGAAATTGACAATTCTCCATTCAGAAAACAACAGAATATAATATGTAATCTGATGGATGAAACCTTGGCTTCCTATTGGTTATAGATAATATAGAGTTAAACATAAGAGAGAACTATTAACAAATCCTGAAAGAGAGAATGTGACAAGTGAGTATGGCAAGAGGTGTCTGATTTTCTATTTGATGGCTCTATAACAAAACAAAATTAAATACTATAAATATTATGGTTTGTCTGAGCAATGATGATTTTATTAGTGGGTAATTTACGTTGAAGTTCAATCATATTGGAGGGGTAGTGAATAAAAGAAGAGGAGATGCCTAGAGAAAATGTGTCACATGTGTCACACTATGGGTAAATTCAGGATTTTTTAAATATTGCCTTATAAAATTAAGAACTTAAAACATATATATACTATTAAAATATATATATATTATTAGCTAAGATTTTATGCTATACTAATTGGTATAAATAAAAAGTAGATTAATAAAATTTTGAATATAAGTCACTAAAACCTTGTGACATGCAGAGTAAAGGATGCCCATGGCGATAAGGTTAACAAATACATTGTTTTTAATATTCCAGTTGTCATTGGATAGTATAGTACTGAAAAATGTTTAAGTGCTTCTAGAGTTTACCTACTTTACACAATTGGCAAAGACACATGCATTTACAACTCCTTTTCGTCCAGCTTTGTTGCACGCTGTGACGTACTCAGCATACAGATCGTTCCTTGCCACTGAGTGACCCAAGCTAATTTCGTACCTATTCACCAACCTAGGATGATAAAAACAAGGTGTTAAGATCTTAAAAAATACAGTGCATGTGAAAACAGAGCAACTAAAAGTATCTAAGAACATTTTAAAGAAAGAAGCATAAAAAAAAGACAATGTTTAACTTAATCCTCTGTATACATACATATTGACAATACTCCTAATAAGAAACATCTCTGATGCTACACATAGTTATGTGTACAACAACATTAATATATCAGATTGAGAAAAAATAATGAGACTTATCTGTTGTATATTTTAGACAGTTTTAGATTTCAATGAACAAAGTGTTTCTTATATGTACGTCAGATGCTAATTTGATTCAGATAATGAAATTAATGTTCAATTCCATTTATCTGATGAAAAGAAAAAAACATTATGGGGTATTTAATAAATTGATAGAATATTAAGTTGTTTCATTTTTATCCTTTTGTACTGTGTTTCACTCCAACAAAATAAGCTTTTTCGAAACTTCTTAGACCGCACTAAGACGCTGAGGAATTGAATTAGTATTTAATCATGAAATGCTCTTGTAATCTTACATAATCACAAATGATTAGTAAACAAAATAATGTTTTACCTATTTCTCATAAAAATGATTTTTAGAAAAGTTTTTGTTTCCATACAAGATTTGTAAGATTCAAAAAGAAAAGTTTACAATATATCAAAATACTGTAAAGAATCATTATAACACATTATAATTCTTTTTATTTCAACCACTGGTATATTTTCAAATTTTTCTCTATTCACAAATGTAAATAAGAAAAAAATAATTCAATTATATAAACAGCATGACTACCATGAATGGATGCATGTATGTTTTTATTTAACTTCATACTGAAGGTCACATAAGAGATTCGTATATCTAGCTAGTTTAAGATAATCTTGAGAAGTCAGTGTAAACTAGCTTTATTGTGTTTGTTATTTATTAAAAATCTATTTCAATGGTCTAGTATCTTCTGTCTCAGGTACTTCAATAGTAACCTAGTAATGGAGTGGTTTGTTCGTTTTAATTATGCCATCTATGAACATAGTAATATATAAATTATAAACCTGACTACAGATTTTTTTATTTGCAAAATAATTTATGACAGCTAAATAAATCAAATAAAAAAGCCAAAAGCTAAACTTTTGAAACATTGCATATAATTAATCCATCCAAAAATATACACATGAATATAATCATATACAATATAACAACATAGTATCTCACTAACAATGTAATTATACACAATACCAACACATATAATATCACGAAGACAGAGATACTAATACAAATATGTTTCAACAGAGTATCTCACAAACATTATCCACACTGGTAATATAATCACACACACCACCACCACACATGTAGTATCATGGTACCAAAAATATTAAATAAATGCTTAAATCGCTATATACATGTTTATGGAATGAATCAAATATCACTATTTCAATGAATATTCATCTAAGTAAGTAAGTGACTTTTTCCAGACAAGCATACAGAAAAAATGATGAACCTTATTGCTCTAATTCTTTCACAGAACCATTCCGTCTGGAGTCCCAATGATTCCTTTCTAGTGCCGAAAAGGATAATAGTATACATATATATATATATATATACTCTGCTTTGGGCATATAATTAGATTTGAGAGTAGGTTGGTAGAGATTCTGATAAGCAATAAAATCGAATTGGGTATACACATGCCCCACACAAAAATATATGTATTAAAAAGGAAACAAAGAAGTATAATGAACTTTTTTAAATTTATAAAGACAAGTAGAGATCGATATATAAGTAACCTAGCTAGCTATAGTAATATAGAAAGTTTTAACACAACAAAATGTATTGAAATAAGAAAGTCAAAACTACAAAAACTGAGTTACATAAAATTTAAAAGTTTTATCCCTACTTTGGCTAAGATTAACATATTTACAGTAATTTGCCAAAGTAGAAATAATGTTTTTTTAATTTTAAGTAGTTCAGTTTTTGTACTTTTGACTTTCTTGTTTCAATACTTTTTGTAGCATTAAAACTTTCTATATTACTATAGCTAGCTAGGTTATGTATATATATCAATCCTTACTTCTCTTTATAAAATATAATTTTTTTATTATTCTTGTATTAATATATTTAGACAGAGTACCTCACAAACAATATCCATATCAGTAAATTAATCACACTCAACAATATCTCACATATAGTGTCATGACCTCAAAAATACTAATACAAATACATTTCAAATGTCTCACAAGCAATACTTACCAATTGCATGCAAATGACTCAGAATCCACTTCTGACAAAGGTTGTGTTCTTGACTCTGTTTGATTTGATGTTACAGATGATGCTTCAGAGTGTCATATTAAAAGAAAGCTCGGTAAAATATCCATAGCCACATTTATACCAATATTACAAAAACTTACACTCAAAATGAGTCATTACACATATATTAAAAACCAATTTAAAATGCTATACATAAAGATATTGCAATCTTAAAAAACTGTTAAAAGAATCCTATGCATCAAATATGATCTTATAGCCCTAAATGTTTAGAATAATAACATTAAATCTCAAACTTTACTCTTAAAAAAATAATTAATACAATTAAACTTGTGCTTTAACTAATATATTAAATTAATAAAAAAAAGAAGTATTAATTATATTCAAAACAAATAATATCAAATACAAAGGAACACCTTTTTACCATCAATATGTTGGAAATGTGATAATGTAAAGTAAAGCTACCATTTTTTTATTAATCAAAGTTTTGCACTGTCAACAACAAGAAAATATACCTCAAAGTCCAACACAGACTGATCCCTGTAAGGAAAAGCAAGCATGAGTGTCTGAAGGGTTTTGTTCAGAGTGTATAATATCCTTAAAGCTGTATGGCATTACTTGAATGTACAGATACACACAAAAAAAGCTTTTCTTTTTGAATATTACAAAAATTATATTGAAAGTATTATCATTATATTTGTAAAATACTTAGCAATTTTATTACCTGCATGTGAAGGAGTTCCAGGACGAGAAACAGTCTTCTGAGAAACAGGTTCATTCACTGTTTCAAATGTCTCAACCAGCTTGAAGTTTTTGTGTGTACTTGCTTTACAGTTCTCTGGGTCAAATGTTAGCAGGTCTACCAAAATTGCTTTTACAAAAAACATCAACAATTATGTTATAACATGTACAAATCATAACCACAATTACTATTTAATATAATAAAGTATACCCTTTATCACTCCTAAAAAAACAACAACCAAAAAAACCTACAACGGTTCATATTAAAAACAAAAATTGAGATAGGATGTTAATATACAAAGTATGTTTTAAAAAAACACACATGTTGGAAAATGTATATGTAGCATCAGCATTAAATTGTAATTTTTGTATAATCAAAATATACTGTGCCAGTGGTATTATGGTATGCATGTTGCACCTGTAATTTACTTTTCACTCATATCAAGTTTTTATTACTCTTTAGTGATTTAAATATATTATATATTCGTGTTGCTTTCACAACATGTTTATTTCAACAATTTATCATACTTTTTATAAATACAATAAGCAATGATTAATCTCCTGCATGCATCAAATTTTAGGTAAACACTAAGGCAAAATAAAAATAAATACCCAACTATAATTACAAGTTAAATCATGACATATGAATATTTAATTCCCAAGCATTTAGCCACACTCTTCTATGTTATCAGTCGGTTAATGTTAACAGGAATGATTACTCCTACACAGAACTTGTTTTAAAGAAACAACTAATAACTACTTATTGTACATGAAAAATTAGTCCACATGAACATCAACTACATACTGTAAATTCCAGTTAAAGGCCTGTGAAACTGTACAATCATTCTTCACGGCCCGTACTCACCAATGCATTTGTGGACTCTGATGATTTTTTCACACGTCCTTTTACCTAAACCAGAGACTGCATACAATGCTTCAAGAGTATGGACAAGCAACATGATGTCCTGGATAGTTAGTAACATAAACATTCTTTCACAAACCTAAAGTTAACATAAAAATAAAATCCCAGCTTTAGTACTTGAGTCTAATCTTTTCATGTTATTAAGCTATATCTAGTATATGATTATTTTTCTCCAGAAAGTTGTTTAAAAAAGCTAATAATTTTTTATTTCACTGAGCAAACAATTATAATATTTTCTGTCACATGATTACTTGCAAGTGATTGCTGAAGAAAACATTTTTCATTAAGTAGAGATACTGGAAAATAGAGATTTTAGCCATTAACCCTTTCGAGATGGGTCATGGGTGAAAGGCCATGTCATCTCATTTGTTGACTCGCATTCAAAATTTTATTGAACTGCTATTTCATGAATTTAGGCCAATAAGTTTGGTATCAGACTGTAGATTATAATTCAAATTTTAGTACTATATATTACTCAATTTCTTGATTTAAAAGAAAATATTAAAAAAACACATATAAACAACAATTTTTGTGTGTCACATGGTATGTTGAATGCAGCACTGGTTCAAATTAGATGTTTGTGAAGTCAAAATACTAAGTCTATAGTTTTGAACAAATTAGAAACTCAAATTACTGATATTGACAAGCTACAATATAAAATAAGAACGTCGTATCTTTTCTATTTGCTAAGATATTGCTCATGTAATAAATCAAACACAGTGGCACCCTCCACCACTTTCCATTTTTGGAAATGCTCCCTTATATACACTTACTTCTATATATGACATGAATAACCAATCAAAAGCTCAATATGTCCCCCTAGTGGCTTTCTCAGCCATTTTAACAGACTTGGTGCCATTTCTTTCTTTTGAACCAATATTTCAACGAGGAAGAGTGTGTCTTTAGTCTGCTCGAAATTTCATATTTTTTTAGACTAAAATACATCTTAGTTACTAATCTTTATAAATTATAGTGGAATTCTATGGTATTAATGTAATGTAATGATTTTTAGTTATTCAAATGTATATACAAAACTTAAAAAAAATATTTTGTTTCATATCCTCCAAATGCAAAATTTTTAAAGGCTTAGTAACCTAAGTCAAGCAGCAACCAAGTACAAAGGTCATAACTAGAAGAGATAATTGTTTGCTTTACTTTTTTATTTACTGTTCTATGTTGTAAAAATATATGTCTGAGAACTTATTTCAAAATAGCAATAATCTATATACATATGTAATGCATAATAATTGGAATGTAACTGTATTTTACAAAATACTAGTCTACTAAAACACAGCTAAGACAAGTTACTTTGCACAGACCAAAGGTCAGTTTTATGCTACTGATACGATAACAGGAGTTCACGTGAGCCACATCATTTTAACTTCTGTATTGTTAGCCAGGCACGACTGAAAGGTCAATATAATAAAAATAATAAATATATATATAAATGTATAGTGTTATGAGATTGAAACTATTTAGTTTAAACATTTATGTTTTCGTGTTATAATTTGTGTTCATTGTAGAATGAAAAAGTATATTTTATATTTAAATTTCCTAATTTTTCATGGTGGTTACAAGATTGGTCAAATCGACCGAACCCGTACAGAGATTAATTACTAATAATAACAGATAAAATATAAAGTGTTTTCTTAAAAAACGTTTGATAACTATCTCGACATTATAAAAATTTTGCATGTGAAATTTCAAAATTTTCTGATGCATAAAAGTATTTTAATGAATATTACTTTGCATGATAGATAGGCAACATGTGAAAAGAAAAAAAAAGACATGAGAAAAACATTGCTTTACAAACCTTAAGACTTAATAAAAAAATTATATATTTTGCGTATGAAAGTATTGTAATGTTTACAGATAATCTGCCAAATTTCGTTAACATTTGCTTACTAATTTAAAAGTTATAGCATGAATACTATAACAAGCACAAAATGGTTATGAGATTGGTCCCAGGGACTAAGCTCGTGCTGAAATAGTATGAAATAACAAGTATGTTTATTCAGGAAATCACTGAAAAACTAAAGCTTTTGCTTGTTTGTCTTAGGGCCCGGCATGGCCAGGTGGTTAGGCCACTCGACTCACAATCTGCGGGTCGCAGGTTCGAATCCATGTCCCACCAAACATGCTCACCCTTTCAGCCGTGGGGGCATTATAATGTGACAATCAATCCCACTATTCCTTGGTAAAAGAGTAACTCAAAAGTTAGCAAGTGGTGGTGATGACTAGCTGCCTTCCCTCTAGTCTTTCACTATTAAATTAAGAATGCTGAGTGCAGATAGCCCTTGTGTAGCTTTGCGCAAAATCCAAAACAAACAAACTGTTTGTTTTAGAATTTTCATGCAAAGCTACATAACATCTATCTGTGCATTACCATCCCTACTGAACTGATACACTAGAGCTATTCAACAGCACCCATTGTCATCTTTTGGGCTACTCTCGTTTGACAGAATAGTTGGATTTGGCTGTCACTCTTATACCATACCCAAAGCCCCAAAATGCAGTGTTTTTGTGGCAACAGGACATGAACCATGACTTATAGCCATATGCCAACAATTAGGCCACACTCAGGTAAAAAAACTGAAATTAAGACTGCACACAATGTCACAAATACCTGCAAATAATCACTGCAAAAAAACCCTCAGCTAATCAAACAATTATATGTTTGTATTTTCAATTGCTGATAATAAAATGATTTTAAATATAAGTAACATAATTGAAAAAAAAATCAAAGTGTAATTTGAAATAAATTTTAGCAAAAATTAGAAACCAAGTGCTTAAAATAAATCTTATTAATAATATCTTTAAAATAAATTTTAAATTAAAAAAAAATTTCTGACAGAGCACCAACTTACTTCATATTGAAGCTCTGATGCAATCACTTCCTCGCTATTCTCAGATTGACATAATTTGGCTAGAATCTCCAGTGATCTAATGGTGATATGTCGATCTTGTGCCAAGATACCCTCGGTCACTGTCCGCCACATTAACCTCGACAATGGGTCCTTCTCTATGTCAAGAGAAACCTTGGAAGAAGAAAGAGCATTCTTTAACAGATCTACTTCTCTCTGTCTCTCTCAGATATCTTTCTTCAAGAAAGACAGAAACATTAAACCTTAAGTTGGAATCAATAAATATTAGTAAAATATAACTTGACAGTATAAACTGTTAATTATTTAGAGATTTGTTTGAGATGCTCATCCAAAGTATCACAACTGAAAGTCAGAATATATTATTCCTGACATTCACAGTATGTCAAAAATACATAACCCTGATGATATGGAATGATGGTATTTCTTTTGTATGTCAAAACTTCATAACACTGACAACTGAGAAATGCATCTCCACTGTAACAAGTATATTATCATTGACACTTATTTCACAAAGTTTTTTTCCATTGTGAAAAGTATATTATTTTAAACATCTGTCTAATGAAGACATCTCCACTGTAGCAAGTATATTATCATTGACACTTATTTCACAAATTTTTTTTCCATTGTGAGAAGTACATTATTTTAAACATCTGTCTGATGAAGACATCTCCACTGTAACAAGTATATTATCATTGACACTTATTTCACAAAGTTGTTTCCATTGTGAGAAGTACATTATTTTAACATCCTTCACATTTGAAGAATTCATCTTTTCTGTATGTAAGAAATACATTATCCTTGACACAGGCTGAAGACATTTCAACTGTATAACAGGGATAAGATGCATAACTCCAAGGCATCTGATACTGGTATTTTTACTGTATGTCAGGAATGATGTGCATTGGAGTGTGTTCCCAAAAAGTAAATTATTACTGATATCTGAGGATTCTATTTATTTGTATTCATCTGATGAAGTATCTTAATGTTAAGTCATGGATACATTACTCATCATCTGATGAAGGAAATCTATATTGACAACTATTACAGTCTATTTGTAGGCAAATCTGTATTTGTAATTGGGACAAAACTATTAAAGAAATACATCATCCTTTTTTAACAATAACGGTTAATGCATATTACTAAAAGTAAAACAATACACAGTACAATTATTGAAAAACATAATGTGTAAAAACTTCTATTTAACTAAGATGTTGATGATGTAACACACATATTACCTGTGAGGCAATATTTCCAAGTGTATCTAAGGCTATCTGTCTCAATCTGGTCCATTCACAGTGTACACAAAGCAAAAGCATCCTGAAATTAAGTCAAAACAATTAGAATACAGAATTATTATCCCATAAATTAAAGACAATTTATGTCTTTTTAAAAACTATGAAAAATAGCCATGTAGAATCTTCTATATTCACAACTTTTAAATACATACAGCAAATAAGTTTTTTAGCTGCGACATAGCGGCTCATAGAATGGCTGCGAGTTTTTGTTTTCTTCGTTTTTTCAAGTATAAACTTTTATCTCATAGCTCCGTCATCTCTTGACTGATTTTAGATCTAATTACAGTTTTGGACTCAGGAGGTCAAACCTTTCAATTGGTGTATTTGACTACACCCAAGGTCTCAGATTAACTTACTTTAATCCTGCCTAAAAGAATTTCAATTTGAGGATAGGCTGGTAGAGATTGTGATGAGCAATAAAATCTAATCAGGTATATGCGCACCCCACGCTTGCACAGAAATATAGCTAATAAAAAGGTCTCATTGATTAATTTACTATAATCCTGCCTAAAAGAATTTCAAGTGTCATGCCTATTAAGGATTACCACTTGTTATATCTTATGAATATGTTTTAACAGCAATGTAATGTGTATACTTCAAAGATATCCTACTAAATGAAAGCAGTGATAATAAGAGCTAGGTACTGTACTTTTTTGCTAGCAAACACACATCTTACTATAATGAACGTAACACGTATATACGAATCCATCTATGTATGTGACCGAAATAATAAATACAATGCAGCACAATCTACTGAATGACACTACAAACAAAATTTACTTTGGGTATTCAAGATTCAGACAATTACAAAAATAAACATGTTATGTGCAACAACCATTTGTTTATTACAGAACACAATCTGAAATAAAAGTACCCTCTTCACAACAACAAGACTTTCACTGGGACTGTACATGAGGTCTCTTCACAACAACAAGACTTTCACTGGGACTGTACATGAGGGTTTGATTATATCTTTACTGATGTAATTTGTAAATAAATTACTAAAAAAATTGAGTTCTTAAAAAAAACTTATTTTTTAAATAAAGGATACTTTTAATACATTACAATTTATATCTGCCAAAATCGAACACTTTTCCCATGCAGTATTTCCCAGAAAAATCCTTTTTAAGAAAAATGTTAACTTTTTCTAAATTTCTTTCAACGAGGTATGAATAATACAATTAGTAATTACTATCACAAACAGCCACCTGTAGAGTTGCATCTCTGCTAGTACTTATTAAGTCTTAGTACACTGCAGTACAGTACTGGAAAAATACACAGTTTATAATATCATAACAGGTGTTACACAGTATTCACTACATGTTGTTATTAACATGCAATATGATATAAAATCTCTTAAAATAATCAAATATACTGCTTTTGGGATACCTGAAATATATTATTTCACTATATCATTTATATTGTTTTCTTATTCAACAAGTATTCCTAAAATTTAAGCTTAAACAATATATTGTATTCTTATTATTTAATCAGGCTCTTTAACTCACATAAATAATATTAAACTTTCTTGAACTTAAAATGTCGAAACAGCAGTTGTAAATAAACAATATGTCAGTCAATAACTGAACTATTAAAACAGCATTCCGAAGATATAGGTTATATCATTTACATTAAGAGAAATAAGGTTAAGTTGTTTTTGTGCCTAAAAAAATGGGTCATTGCAAGGACAATTATACACCCAATTCCATCTTGGTAGGGGAGGGGGGGTTGATTAAGTGCAAATTTATAAAGGAAACACTCCTTTATATCTGTAACATCTTTCTGAACATCCACTTTCTACTTTCAATCCTTATGACCTGTCAAACATTTTTATTTTGGGGGGTGGGGAGAGGAGTAAGTTTTAATGTTGTTAATATTGAAACTTTGGAATATTTAGTCATAGATTAAATTTTCTTAAGAAATGCATTTTGTACAACACATGTAAGTTCCATATTACTTAAATTAAAAGAGCTCTGTATAGTACATATATATATGTAATTTAAAGCATGTTTTTACAATTTTCTGATTCATAAAATTTGATTTATCACAAGAATCAAACTTTAAAAACTACCTGATGCAGTTTGAGTTCGCTGCTAAAACAGAGATGTTATGCTCTTCAAAGGACAAGTTGTGCAGTATCAAAAGAATCTGTATCACAAATACATGATCATGTTATGCATAAATATCAATTCATAATATATAAAAAATACTTAAATTGTATCTCAAAAGTGCAGTTCTCTAAAAATTGATACAGAAACTTTACTTTTTTGATATATAGTGAACTTGGTGAACCATGAGGTTTTAGCTGTGTTCAAACACCACTAATAATCAGGCTGATGTTATATCAATAGTTCATTTACAAATAAACCACTAATAAGTCACAACAAGAACAGTGGAGTTACACATTTTGAACTACAATATATTTTTCCACAGATATTGACAATGAACCCTTTTAAGTTATTTATGTATACTTATGTAAGTGTGGTATATGAATACCATATACCATAATTTTCATAGTACAAATTTCATATCTACAGAAGTTTTAAGTTTTTCTAAGTTCAGACTTGGAAACAACTGAAGTTGGTCAAGGTGCTGGAATATTCCTTAACAGATGTGGTACTTTAAAAATATCATATTTTCTTTCTCTCTCTCTCTACACTTAGAAATTTCAACTGTTTACTGAAATTAAAAATAAATTTCAAATATACATGCTTAGAGATTTTCACCTACAGGACACTTGTCTTGTAGAGTACTGACCTTTAGTTTATGTGCTACTCACACACAGTCAAGACGTGTGTCCCACTTAGGTATTTATGGCAGACCTCATATCTGCTTTCTCTAGTTACATCATTTTGTATACATTTAGAAATACCTGTCAATAAAACTCTCCCTACTTTCACTTATGGGATCATCAACGATGTGGGTAATTAGTGCCTGCACTCTGAGATGGATGATGTTATTGTTTATGTATATGTATCATTATACTCAGTCTTGAATATCAAGAGACGTCTTGAAAATAGATACAGAACTCAAATCTCTCCTTCTATGACCAAATTTTCATGCATTCATCTATTATGACTTGTATTAATAAAGATATATATTACTATGTTTAACATTGTGCTCAATCTCTTTTCTTCAACTCATCACAAGCCAAATTTTCAGTTTTAATTCCACAATATACCTTTCCTTGCCATTCCTCCAGTTATCTGAGGCTACTGTTTCATGATACAGTTATATTATATCCTACTTTATCTGGAGTATATACAAGACTATTTAGAGACTGCAGAGGCAGATTCAGGAAGGGGGGTGTAAGGGTGCAAACCCCCCTTTTCAATGCAAAAAACAAAACTGAAGAAAAAAAGTAAAACATTAAATAATTATAATGAGAAAATAAAGATGCACGTGGAAAAAATATCATATCTAATTGTTTTCTGGGATCATTTATGCTCTAGACCACCCATAATGCATTGAAGATAGCCCTAAAGGATCTTGTCTTCAACAAACTAGGTCTTAAAATCTTTAGTTGTGAAAATCGGGTAAATGTGTGGATTATCCTTGAATTACTACAGGAGTAGCCTGAGCTCATTTTGTGTTTCAATAACTTATCTCTGATCAGAATTATAACATCAGCTTTATATTCTACTCCTCAACACCAATATAATTCTAGTCTGATACTTTTTTTTGTTTGCTTGAAATCTCCTCTTCAAGAAACTGTAATCTTCTTTAAGATGTAAAGTTCATTGCATTTCTATTTTCTTACCCTCAATACTCGTTGTCCTTCAATGTTATAAGTTCCCAGACTTTCTCCAAGATTAAAAAAACAGTCATCTGTAAGTGGACTCTTCCCTGAAATACAAATGTATCATTATCAGTTACTTTTCATAAATTTATGATTTTTAACATTGTAACATTTGTATTCTAAAGTTCAACTTCTAAGGTTAAAGGCCCCCTAGTAGCACAGCGGTATGTCTGCGGACTTACAATGCTAGAATCAGGGTTTCAATACCCATGGTGGGCAGAGCACAGATAGCCCACTGTGTAGCTTTGTGCTTAATTACAAACAAACAAAACAATATCTAAGGTAAAAAGAAGACACAATATTATTAAATATAAATACATATCTAATGCAAACAGTGTTATTTGGGAATAAAATACAATGAATACATGTATGACGATTTTCATATATATATATATTCTAAATCCAAAACTTTCATAATAAATTCAATTCTTAAGAAATTTGTATCAATATTATTAAATAATCATTATCTACAACAAAAATATTTTCAGTGTCTTTTACAAAATATTACACATGTGTACGCTACATAAATTTACAACCTAAGTACTTGGTTATACTATAAATATTTTAAAATCAATATATAAAAAAATCACATTTATTCACATCTCCTATCCTTTGCCAAATAATTCCTAAATTTTAGTTATCATAAAAAATATTCAATAAGAAGCTTCTTCAAACAAACATAACAATAAAACAGAAGGTCCGTTATGTAATACCAGATGGTACACATAGACAGAACTAATCAACCAAACAAACATAACAATAAACCAGGAGGTCCGTTATGTAATACCAGATGGCACATGTAGGAAGAACTAGTCAACCAAAGAAACATAACAATAAACCAGAAGGTCCATTATGTAATACCAGATGGTACACATAGACAGAACTAATCAGACAAACAAACATAACAATAAACCAGGATGTCCGTTATGTAATACTAGATGGTACACATAGACAGAACTAATCAACCAAACAAACATAATAAACCAGAAGGTTCGTTATGTAGTACCAGATGGTACATGTAGGAAGAACTAATCAAACAAACATAACAATAAACCAGAAGGTCCATTATGTAATACCAGATGTTACATGTAGGAAGAACTAATCAAACAAACATAACAATAAACCAGAAGGTCCATTATGTAATACCAGATAGTAGATATAGGAAGAACTAATCAAACAAACATAACAATAAACCAGAAGGTCCGATTATGTAATACCAGATGGTACATGTAGGAAGAACTAATCAAACAAACATAACAATAAACCAGAAGGTCCATTATGTAATACCAGATGTACATGTAGGAAGAACTAATCAAACAAACATAACAATAAACCAGAAGGTCCATTATGTAATACCAGATGTTACATGTAGGAAGAACTAATCAAACAAACATAACAATAAACCAGAAGGTCCATTATGTAATACCAGATGTTACATGTAGGAAGAACTAATCAAACAAACATAACAATAAAC